GGTACCAAGGAGTTTAGACTTGCCAGGTACCCATTCCTACCTGGGTCAAGTGAGGAAAATTCGTGCAAAGTGCCTTTCTCAAGGGCGCAACGTCGGGACCGCGGCTCGAACCACCGAACCGGTAGCCTAACCCTACACCTTTCACGGTCGCGAGCTACCGTTGCACATTCTGCTGTATCCAGGCAAGTCCAGCTTCCTATGTTGTCCGTCCTTGTTATTCTTTGCCTTTCTCTGGATCTCCTGCCCCAAATCTTTCCTTCAAGCTTCTCTTTCACAATGGTCTCGTGTCGTTTTAAGAAGTGGCCTTAGCATTGTATTTTTCTGCATTTTATTTTGTTCAGCAGGGTTTTTCTTGTGTGTAGAATCTGACACACCTTTTTAACATTGATTTTGTGTGAGATTCTTAATGATTAGTACCCAAATTTTGTTTAGGGCAGTGCAGTTTTTTTTGTTTTGTGGTTTTTCATTTCAAGCGTTGGTTTTTTTTTGGTGTTTTTTGGGGGGTGGGGGGGTGGGGGGGAATTAATAGCGCATCTCACAGTCACATATATATATACTTATCCTTGTACCTCTTAATAGTGTGGTCAAAAATTCGTGGCGTAACTTAGTGTCAAATATCTCCTTAATTATTGAACATATATTTTCCAACGTTTGCACAATGACTTATATCAATTTGTCTTAGCAGATAAATATTTTTTCAAACACCTCTACACTGTATTCTAGAACATTTCTTAATTAAATACTATTAACTAATCCTAGTCGATTGTTTCTACACCTTTTAGAAAATTTACAGCTCGGGCATTAATATCGCTTTTAAAACAGGTCTGTCAATGTTTTCTAATCGCGACTTTTATGCTTATTGAACGCTTGTTTTGAAAACCTTTAGTACAAAAAATGTAAACTATAAAATTAATTTCTTGTAACAAGTTTTGCCTCTAAAAAGTGTCATTGGTGAGCTGCGACGTAGACCATTATGCGTAAACAAAATGTGTGCAAGAAGCGGGAAATGCTGTGAACAATCCCATTTTCTGGGTGGCGGAGATTTATAGTATTTTATATAAATTCATGAAGAAAAGTTTTTGTAAAAATCCAGTCTCAATTGTTGTGGAAAAATATGATGAAGTTAAGACAAATTGATACAAACTACTGTGCAAAGTATGGGTGATAATGATTCAACTTTTAGTTTTAGCAAAGATAGTACAGCCTACGATAAGATGCTGCAGTGGTCCAATTTGTGAGGCACGTCGACTCCTAGCGCCGCTAGCGGCGAGCGTGCGACAGTATGTAAACAAACACGGCGAGAGACACGCAACGCTCATGCTGTCGGCATTACTTGGCCAGTTTTGTTCAGCGATCGGCCGTTCTAATTCCAGAGGAAAAACTAAATAACTGTCTTTCTTCAGATTCCCAAAGGACGAAAAATGGAAAGACAATGTGAAATTGATTTTTTAATATAAAGTCTAGATTAGAGCAGAACTTAAGAGATCAGAGTCCAGCCTGTAAGCTTTGTTTACTCTCTGCATCATGCACCCTTGACTATGACCAATGCTTTGTACTCTGTACTTTGTTGTGTGTGGGTCCATTCCATTAGGCGTAGAACTAGATTCTAGATGCAAATGATATATAAATATATGTGTTTTCTGTGTTGTGGGTTATTATGTAATTTGTTCTTTAGCACAACACAGAGAGATCAGTATTTTGCTTATTGATTTGTAACTTTTTATGACGTATGGGCCATTGGCCTCGAAAGTCAATAACTAATTTAATTCAATTCTCTCTCACCACACACACTCATACACACTTGTACGCACGCACGCACGCACGCACGCACGCACGCACGCACACACGCACACACGCACGCACGCACGCACGCACGCACGCACACACACACACACGCGCGCGCGCGCATACACACACACACACACACACACACACACACACACCATATGTCCTGACCACTTCTGTACATTTTATCATCATCACGGCCACCATCACATCATCATCATCAAATCATCTTCATGCACATCACAAAAAACACCTTCACAAACATCCAGTGGCGGTGGGTGGACCAAGATTTGGGTGGGGCTTGGGTTGGTTCCACTTCTTTACCACCAAAAATCAAGCGCTATGAGCTCAACAGTGATGATTTTGCTATACTCACGGTGAGCCACGGTATTTTAGGAACAATTCGAGCGAGGAGAATCAACTTTGTCTTCCATCTCTTTATTCTAAGTTAGCTCTAGATTTTTCTGGATGGCGGGTACGAAACCGTTTCCCTTCCCTTCCAATTTTTTTCTAATTTTCATCTAATGAAAAAGTTGCCTTAAAAGTGGTAGATCTGCGACGTGATTTATAACACTTAAATAAGTTAAATCTCAGGAGCACACACAGCACCTCAAGCGTATTATTATTCCGTCTATGATGAGCAGGTATCAGCTGTGTAGTCGAGGAAAATTGAAAGAACCCAACGAAGGTCCATTGAGTGCATAGGTGACTGTGTCGCTGGGGAAAGTGTGTCGTAAACTTTCACCCTGTTGTCAAGTCTAGGAGAGCGTGAGCCCTTAGAAAATAGAGAGAGACATAATATACTTCTATGTTGTATTCTTCTGTGTACTCACTCTCTCTCTCTATCTCTCTCTCTCTCTCTCACTCACTCACTCATTCACTCACTCACTCACTCTCTCTCTCTCACTCACTCACTCAGTCACTCACTCAGTCACCCACTCATCTATCTCTCTGCGTGCATGTTTGTCGTTTTAACTGTAATAGCTTATTAGTTCCCCCCTCCCCCCCCCTCCTCTTTCTCTCTCTCTATTCTGCTATTGCAGCGTTCCCTGGTATATCTAATACACTGTACTAATTGACACTATCTTTTGATTTCTAATAATGCATACTCCTGTCATCAATACGATCAATAATATTGTTCTAGGCCTAGATTTCGTGATTGTCAATGTCTAGATCTAGATCTTGATTTAGTAGATCGTGAGCCTATGCACCCGGTACACTAGATTTATCCTCTGATCTTATCACTCGTTACCGAAGTGAGGCTATTTTTTAATCTAATGTTTTCCGCTTAAAATATTTTAGATCTAGATAAATTATTAAAATACGTTGATCAATACTTTAGATAGATCTATATAATTATTTAGATCTAGATTTAGATTAGAATGGGCCCTAGAGTAGGATTAACAAGGACGCTCTCATATTCTACTCTATCCAACAAGCCCAGGGCCAAGCCATCGGGGCTCAGTCACACGCTCGCTGGGGGCGTGGCCTATTTTACGCGTGCTACGTTTTTTTTTACAGAGGAAAAGAGGGAGCTGTAGCATCTTACCGTAGAGTGTAGTATCTTTGGTTTTAGTAGAGGTTGTACGGCGCTCGCGACCACATAAGGTCATAATATGAGCGCCGGAAGATTAGAGGTGTTACAAGAGAGTAACAAACATAAAAAAGAAGAAGGGGAGAAAACCACACCAGAGTACCCGCCAAACACCCACATGATTCAACCGTTTAAAAAGAGACATTCGAGGATAAGTTGCGCCATGAATTCTTGACCGCAATATAGTGTCGTGGATAATGTTCTTTGACTCATAGGCCTATTAATAACTAGCTGGGTAATCGTTCAATGAACGGACTTAGTACTGGAGGTCGCGGCTGTGACGTCACCCATGTAAACCAACTATGGCAGTGCGGGCCCACATAGCTCGCTTTGTCGCCATTTAGAAAGGATTAGAAACTGTCACTCTGCGCGTCCCTCGCAACTCCTAGGTCTTCGTAGAGTATGAAGCTCAGTTCAGTTTTATTGTAAGTTTTCTTTTTGTTTGCTGTTGTTGTTTAATTATATAACATACACGCATACACATTACCGCACACATGCTGACCGACTGTGGGAAACGTAAATGCACGTAAATGTGGGCTACAAATGAACAGAGAATACATGTACAATATTATGAAGTATTGTTTGTTTTTTTCAGTATGGGGTGGGGGAGGGACGGAGGGAGACAAAGTGAGTAATTGAGTATGTTAAGAAAAACGACGATTACAAAACGGATTGCTTTTATGTCATATGTTGTTTACACTCCACTTCTACTGATGCAAAGCCTAGGTCTTCATATAATATGAAGGGGGTTAAGACTGGGTTAATTATTTAGTATATTGATTCGTTATTGTCTCAAAATGAGCAATAAATTGTAGGCTTGGATACTGGAAATCACTTTGTATGGATTCTGTGCGCATACCCAAAGAGCGTTGTTTAAATCGGCACAAATAAAGATAAACTGAAAACATTTTAAAATGCAACACTCCGATAAATAGTGTGTTTATCTTAAACGTTCACAATTTTTTTCTAAAATTGGCGCTGATTGGCAATGGTGTTTGGCTACACAACACCCCATCTTCCATGAACCCCTGCTGCTGCTAATGCGCATATGTTGTTTGGCGTCGTTTCCGTAAATAAGACAAGAATATTACACCGGTCTTATTAGGTTAGCAGTTACGTTACGCTGGTTGGCTACTTTATATTCCCTCATCTCAACAACATCAACAGTGGTGCTTTTCCGATCAGCCAGCATTGAAGGTGTGCTAGATTTGCAGTTGAAGCTTCTAGCAGCTTGTCAGTCACATTCCTGATTCCAGAGGGCTGACGAGCGCCTTAATTATTCTGGTTCTGCAGTGCCAAATCTAGACATAATGTTAGAGCGACGCACAGCAAAAGCTCAATAAAATAATGTTGTCGGTTTTTTTGTTTTAACTAGAGATCTTCAAGTCCATCTCATTCATTTTTTCGAAATTTTACTCACTCATATGGTCTCACAGTGTAAAAGACCCAGTTCGCATTATTTGGACGGCTCATTTAAAGGTAAACAACCACAAAGATCTCTTTGAGTACATTTTAGCGATATACAAATCTCATGAAAAAGAAATCAACATCAAAAGACTTCGCAGAGTATCATTAATTTGAGAATGAAAAGTGTTGCTTTTATTCCTCTCTGAAATGGCGGCTGGCCCCTCAACCAGAGACCGTAAATAATACGTACATTTTATTTTCGGTCTTTGCTCGAACTTTGACACCAGTGACGTCATAGCTAAGACCTCTTGTTCTATATTTTTATAACCTCTTTGTTATTTTGTCAATGTAACTCTTTTGCTGCAGAAATAAATCAAGTACTCGTCTCCATGTATGGTTACTTCCGTTCTTGTTCCGGCCCTTCCTCTCGTCTCGAAACTTGGCTGCCAAGGAGGAGTTGAAGATGTGAAATGTAGCACAGGCCCTAATGTATTTTTCATCAAAAGTTTCCACTGACATGTAGAAATCAAGGTAAGATCCAAGGGCTGTAACGTATAGAGAAGTCTCATGAGGTGTGTAGAAGTGGAATTTGAGAATGTCAGTAGTCTTTGAAAAGTCTGAGACTAGAAAAACTGGAACATCCATCATCCTACGCCTCTCTCTCATACTTTGTAAGTTGTTTTGGACAAGCAATAAAATAAGCTGACTATAACATGGCAAACAAACCAGAATGGATAATGTTTGAAATTCACATGAATTCCATTTCCATCTTCGATTTGGGCCCAGGAGCACTCTGGAAATACTTGGTGTATCACTGACAATGACAATCAATAATGTTTGTTAAGGCTAAGGCCACCTCCGCAGGCGAGTCTTGTGGCTATTCTCACCCGGTGCGCGTTCACCAAATTTTGCGTTCACCCTAAACCACAGAATTCTACACTGTGATAACAGAAAAATTGTAGAATTCTGTGCCGTGAACAAACGTTCCATTACAACTGTAGCCTACTAAAAGCGTACAATTTTGTCTGTGGGCAGTGGAGAGAGAGAGAGAAAGAGAGAGAGGAGTAGCGCGAGAATTTCCGGGCAAAACAAAATGGCGACCCACGTAGTTCGGCTCAATTCGAAAAGTTAAATAGCCGTAGCATCTTTGTAGACAACCAAATTAATTTACTTTTGTGTTTTAACATCATTTTTTAACTTTGTTTTGGTCAATTTGATCATCCACACCGATAGACAGTATTCAGAAAGAGACAGAGAGAGAGAGAAGAGGGGAGGAGTTGATCTTGCGAGAACGTCCGGGTGGGTGAGAATAGCCACTTTCGTTTGTTAATGTTGTCAGGCCGAAAGACTCTGGAAGAGAGCGAGAGATACACTGCTATTTTGCTATTTTTCAGGAAATAAATGAGAATCAAAAGTGAAAAAAGTGTCTACTTTGTAATCTAACTGAATTTGGAATTACATTTGTTTCTTGCACACATTATAATGGAAGTGGTTATCCTCACCCAGGGTGAGAATAAAAATACGATTGACCTTTCACCCCGGGTGAGACTTGCAAGCGTTGGCTATTCTCACCCGCTGTGAAGCAAGACTGTTTTTCCTAATTTCGGAATACTGTCTATAAGTGTGGATGATCAAATTGACAAAAGCAAAGAAAAAATGACGTTATAGCTCAAGCTAATTTGATCGTCTTCAAAGATGCTATGGCTATTTCATTTTTTGAATCGAGCCGAAATATGCGGGTTGCCATTTGGTTTTGCCCAGAAGTTCTCACGCTACTCCTCTCTCTCTCTCTCTCTCTCTCTCTCTCTCTCTCTCTCTCTCTCTCTCTCTCTCTCTCTCTCTCTCTCTCTCTCTCTCTCTCTCTCTCTCTCTCTCTCTCTCTCTCTCTCACCCCCCCCCCTCTCTCTCTCTTTCTCTCTCACTGCCCACAGACAAAATTGCACGCTTTCAACACAAAAGAGCGCTGGAACATTTGTTCAAGGCCGAGGACCTCCTTGTTCAAGGCACAGAGTTCTACACTTCTGTTATCACAGTGTAGAATTCTGTGGTTTACGGTGAATGCTACACAGGTTGCCCTAAGCTAGCACAGTGAACGCACACAGAGTGAGAATAGCCAAAAGGCTCACCGGTGGCCTAATAAAATAGCCCTCGTAGTCTTTGTGCGGCTGAGTCTATGCGCTCGCAATTGCGTGCACAGCTGCACAGAAATTCAAATTTTCCTATACGCACGCAATTGCATGCAAGGTATCCCATAGTTTGCTATATTTACGCAATTATGTTTATAGTCTTTAGATATCGACACATTGAGTCTTTATGCACAGTGTCAGGTTCGGGCTGTCGTACCAATCTGGAAGAAGGGACATTGAATCTACTAGAAAGGGTAGCCTACTATTGAATGATTTGAAAGAATCCACTCTGAGTTACATTCCATTATGTTGCTATACAACCTCACGTTTTCTGTTTTTCTGAGGCAGTTTTCAGCTGAAAATCTGAGGAATCCAAAAAGTCTGAAAATTAAAAGAACCGTTGTACAGGCTGCATGGAGGTTTCTGAACTTCTTATCTCAAGAATAAGGTACAAGAGTGAAGACTCGCGTGATTTACCAATTCTTTTCCTTTCGCCTAAGCCCGTTTAGGCACGTGACAGAAAAGGGGAAACATAGTTCTTAGAGGCAAACCTAAAGAAGAGGGAAATTAACTCATAATGTGCCAGCAAGGTTCAAATCCATGATTGACTTTGAGGACTACTACTACTAAATAATTTGACTTCATATTAAATATTAGGTATAGAGAACTGTCAACAATGTTAGTAAGAACAGTAGTAAAAGAACAAGTCTGTAGGTTGAAATAAATCTATCTAATGAGCAAACATTACAAACAATACAGGATTTATATATATATATAATCGACAAATGATTGTTAACATGATAATGATAAGTACTAGAATTTACGTACATTACCAAAACCCAGGATGAATATCGAAACATCCTCATCACAGATACGTTACCAAAGAATCATCAAAGAGATAAATGAAATACATCTTCACTCGTTCTGACATCACGGAAACAGACAGCCGCCTCTCAGAATGAGGGTATCCGGCGAAGTGGTGTTTTACAATGCCAAAAAGCTACAGCCATTCTTTCTCTCAAGCACAAAAACCTGCATTTTTACAGTCAACAAAATATCACTCTCATGAAATGGTTTCAGGGCACTGCGTGAGAATAAAAAGAAAGAATGTATCAACGCCATGCAAGGGTAATGCTAAAAGATTCGAAGGGAAACATCAAAATGAAAAATGAAGGCATATTGCATTCAGGTAGGTTGAATACATTGAAAATCTGTATTCTGATGATGAGAGAGTCAAGGTCAAATGTTCAACACCATCTTTGAAAAAGGAACTGTATGTAAAGATAACAAAGTGTATGGAAATTCATAAACATTACGCACACATATATATGACAGATCCAATCATGCTGACTACGTTCCCTGTACTCTGTTTCATCAATAGGCTTACATAGCAGAGTATGATACCTTGCTCACAATTGCGTGCGTTTAGCAAAAATCTCCCGTACGAGGAACAATTTTCTATGTACTGTATATAAATAATTCTGAATGTGAATCTGTGATTTATTTTAGGACATGCATCTAGTAAAAGCAGTATGCAGAATACAACCCATGACGAACTGCGTTTGTGATCATGGTCCTCGTGTTTCTCAAGGCATGACAGAGAGCTGAGAGACCCTATGTAACAGCAACATCTTAGCTCATTCCCCGTGTAAGAAAAAATGACGAACGGCGAACTTTATATATGTCACGAAAAGGATACAGTGTGCAGATTTTTTTAGCCTACCTATTTACTACAACCCCGTCATTATGCTAGAGATTTTGATGTGGGCTTTCTTTCAATTTCAATCATGTAATTTAAATGTAAGGGTGAAAATCGTTTACTACTTTGTCCTAGGGTCTCTATTGATGTCACATTATGTCAGTTGTGCTTCATAGATATGGTGGGATGAAAAATTTGCATTGATTTCAAATGTCTTTGTGGTCACTTTGAGTTTGAGTGTGCACAATGAGATGTATAGTAATTATTATTAAAAAGTATATTCTCATTTTTAATGACCTAGTATTTCTAGTAGAAAAGAGTTTGAATTATTTCCTTCACAGACATAGAGATCTGGTCTGCTCCCTGCAATTTCTTGAGCAAGAATGTCAGGGGAAATATTTCAGCCAATGGAAAGTGTTGAAGAATCAAGCATTGCTGGAACAAGGAATCCTCTACTTTGTTACCTGTGCAATGACCCATATGAGGACCCGCGTATCTTGGGATGTTTCCACAGTTTTTGTGCGCTCTGTTTGCGAGGCCGAGCCTCGGATGGGAAGATGACCTGTCCACTCTGTGGGTGAGTAATTTCCTCCTACAAATTTTAAGGAGACGTTGTGTTGTTCTCTTACTGTTCGTGCCGTTTTTCCTTAATGGCTAAATTGAAAAGAAGAAAAGGTGACACATTGTGTTCGTTGGAGGAATGAAATGAGACATCATTTGGTAAAAAATTGCCCACCTCTAGTATATTGTGTTCCACAGATATGAATATGTGGTACTCTGTTAGTATGAAGGAAGGTAAAGGTAGCAGTAGCAAAATTTTAAGTATTGCTAACTCAACTTGAAAGTGTTGGCAAGTTTCACCTATATCCTAAATCTTTCCTTCCAGGATGCTAACTTTGAGCTCTTTAGCTAGAAAATCTTTTCTATAAAAGTCATACAGTGGTGAAAATGAACTTTGATATCCATCACTAAGACAGCAGTAATGCCTGAACAATGCAAAAGGTTGTTTGTTCGGTTATTTTTTGTGGTTGTTTTTTTCCTTTGTACTTTAGGACTTCTACTCACTCGCATGCCTGTACTTCTTAACATTTGTGACCAGGAGTAAAACTTGAGTAGTTGGGTTTGTTTTGTATTTTTTCACTTCCCTTAACCAGATTGACTGTATTGTTATATTTTACTCTCTCGATTTACCTTAAAAGACTTCATAATCACTTTGAAGGAACTGTCAGGCAGATTACATAATACATCATACAGGTTTCTTTAGCAGTTGTCTGTCCATTGGAGGAGTCTGCAAAAAAAAAAAAAAACGAACACCTGTGGGAAGACATTTTGCAGTCACACATTCACATATTGCTTTAAAAGCATGCTATGATATTCATGTAAAGAATTTATTTTAGAAATATATTGTTCAAAAGCGCCCTGTCACAGTTTATCGACTTGATTTGGGGTAGGCTTAATAATGAGGCCTTGCTCAAGGACATCAAGCGACTTATCTGTGACTAACAGTCCAGGGCGAGTTGTTGAAGGGTGCTTCTTCACTCCATTTGTGTAGCAGTAATATGAAGATCTTCACTCCATTTGTGTAGCAGTAATATGAAGATCTTCACTCCATTTGTGTAGCAGTAATATGAAGATCTTCACTCCATCTGTGTAGCAGTAATATGAAGATCTTCACTCCATTTGTGTAGCAGTAATACAGTATCCCGGCACTAACCAAGGATTCCCACCTCCCTCGCAGGTTTGCCCACACGTTGAAGGAAGGTGCAGTCCTCCCTCCCAGTGACCTTCTGCTCAAGTTCATGGTGGAGTCCACCACAGAGGAGAAGGCTCAGTGTGCCAACTGTGACTCGGTAAGAAGATGAATGTTTTGCTTCTTAAAATCTTAACAGTGGTTTTTCACACATCTTATGGTTGACGGGTGCTCTGGTGTGGTTCGCTTCTTCTTTCCTATCAAACATCTATCGTCTTTATCTCCCCTTCTAGTCTTTTTTATGTTTGTTACTCTCGTGTGACACCTCTAATCTTCTGGCGCTCATATGACCTTATGCAGTTGCGAGCGCTGTAAAACCTCTACTAAAACAAACACATCTGCAGGATCTAGTATCTGATCTTCTTGGAAAAGGGGGGGGGGGGGGGGGGGGGTTTAATTTCTATATTCATGTTCAACATGCTAAAAAAATACTTTGCAGATGAAATGCAAAGAAAAAGCAGACTAGTCTTAGGAAAATAATTGATCTCTTACCCCGATCAGTATAAATAACATGAATATGGTTATGTTTGTTCAGTCACTTACTTTTTACTTTCTTCTCTTACCCCTATGGAACCTGAACCCGATTACAGTGTTTAAAATGTCTTAAAATTTGAAATAATACATGCTGAGATATCAAATAACAAGACTATACTTTTATTTTAGAAAGATTTGAAATAGGTCTATGTCTATTTCTAGACCGCAAGGTCTTGTCTGAATTATGGTCCATCAAGACTAGAACTATTTTCAGATATGTGCTAAATATGGTACACATGGTCTTTGAGGGTTAAAGTTCACTTTTTTACCCCCCACTCATTTTGGTTTCGTTTTTTTCCAGACCTCTTTACAGATGTTCTTCTGCAACACGTGCACACAGCCACTGTGTGGTCCGTGTCGAGAAGAAACGCACCGTGCCAAGATGTTCTCCAGCCACGATATGGTGCTTCTCACAAAGCGAGCCAGGGAGGTACACAAGAAATGTGGTAGGTCAACAAACGGTTTCTTTGTTTATTCATTCTTCTTAACGATAATGATAGTAATAATGATGATAATAAGTAGTATTTGTATAGTGTATGTCCCTGCTCAACAGCAAGTTTATGCGCTGTCCAGTCTATTTTAATTATTAATATTGTCAAAATGAACGTGGACTATTGTGGAAAGCAGAAGTTTAAAAAGCTGCATCAATGTAAATTTTCAAACAGTCTTTGTTTATTTATGCTTTTCTGACATTTACATCATCTGTATAGGTAGGGGGGGGGTTGTTTGGGGTTGTTTGTTTTTTTTGGTGGGGGGGGGGGGGGAATGTCTTCTCATTTTTAAATTGAAATGACATGCACCGGGAAGTTGGTTAATTTGTAGCCTCATCTTTGGCCCAACTCTTGGCATAGAGACCCAAAATTTTGCGGGAGTCTGGAGGACCTGCGGCAAGCGACATCCTCGGCACTAGAGACTGGGATGTCCATTTAGAGATGAAGGAGGAGAAGAGGCGTTAAGATTTGCCGTAATCTTTTCTGGTGAAATATTACTATCATCGTGCTAAATGCCATCAGCTACATCTCAAACTCTGGGCAAGCATGAAAGCTTATATCTTTGACTTTTATTTTATAGACACCTTGCTGTTTGGAAATCTAATTTTGCTTTCCGTTTGTTCGCTTCCACAGCGTTACATGGGGAACCGTACATCATGTTTTCCTCGGAGAAGAAGATCATGCTGTGCATCAACTGTTTTCGTGATATGAGAATGTAAGCAGATTGTTGTTACATTTGTGCACTTTCGTCTGTGTCTCCCCTAACCCTTTCTTTCCTTTTTGTGTGTGGGTGGTTGGTGGGAGTTCTGGTGCGGGTTGATCCTTCTTTCTTATCAAACATTTGTCATCCTTATCGCTCCTCTTTCGGATTTTCTCAAAGAAACTTTGATCCTTGTATTTCCCCATCACCTATCTCTTTAAATTTTCCAGATGTTTTTCTGGGTCTACCCTGCCTTGTTACCTCATGCTTGCTTGTAATTATTATCCTTATCTGATTCTTGACAAAGTCGGCCAGTTTTGTGCAGTTGCAGTATAGCATGCATGTAGCGAAATCGCCAGGACACAGCTGAAAAATCTTTTCATTATGTTCAAATTTCACAATATACATGTTTTGAATACAAAGGAAATACATGAATAGTTCAGTCCTTTTGGAGACAGATGTTAAACTAGGAGGTCCCGCTTCCTAAGTAACCTTATACAGTGTTGTTAGAGAGGTACTTAACCCGTTCATTTACTTTTTGCTTCCCGTCTGACAGAGAGAGCCGAGGTCACTGCTTAGACTTGGAGACTGCGTACAAGCAAAGCTGCAAAAAGTTGGATCTACGGGTCCAGGTAAGGCATTTGTGCTTTTACTTGGTTGGGGGGGGGGAGGGGGGGATCTGTTTTACCGTAATATGGCGAGAGGAATTGTACTTGTCAGACGTGGACCAAGTATGTTGCTCTTTAGATCTACATGTCGTGCCTGTGAAGGGTCGCTTTGACTCCATCAATCCATTTTTCTCTTGGTCTATGTATGTAACTTGCAGACCTGCCACTCATCCCGATTTAGTCGGGATATCCCGATTTTTTTCCCCCAAATCTCAAGCGTCCCGATTTTCCCGATTTCGATTGCATGTATCCCGATTTTTTGTCCCAGTCTGCTGTTGTGTCGGATTTTTCTAAAAACTTACTCTGCCTTCTCCTTTATTACGGGAAGCACCCGTTGAACTTTTTGTCAGTAGGAACTCGGAGCAATATTTCCCGAAATATCGATGCCGCATTTAGTAGTTGACTCGCCCCAAGTTGTGTGTGATCTTTGCCCGCGCTCAGAGTTCTCCGATGATAGCCTGGTAACTGTTACAATTTGGGACATACAAATAATTGATAATATTCGTAGTTCCGCTGTTACTTTCAAAACAAGCCTTGTCCGAGGTCTGGTAACTGCGTGTTCACATCAAACACTCGGACGAGCGACAGTCTTTCTAACCCTTACACAACTACATGTAACCGCGCTGACACGATTAACATACGGCCATTGTCACTGCTTTTGTCTGAACGCATTATGAGGGATAAGAAATTTGTTAGTACATTCGGTCGGTCACTCGCCGTCGTTATCCTAGAAGTGGAATGACTGTCGCTCATCCGAGTGTTTTGTGTGAACGTGCAGTTAGTCGAACCCGTCAGAAAAATTGTTTCAATCGCGCATTCGCGTCACGTGACATGACATCGCCGTGTGAGTTATGCGTGTCGGGGACCGTCCGTTGACGGGGTCAACTTAAGTTCATGTTATTCGGGACTTATTGGTAGGGAGGGACTAGGTAGAGACTGATAGAGACTTGGACTAGGTGTGCCTGACACGATGGTTCAGGATTTACAAAAAATAATGATAACTCGCACGCATGCACACACACACACACATGCAAACAAACAAAGACACACAGAGGGCATATTGGCCAAGTATTTTACGGACATCCCTGGAAAAATTTTAAGTCAGCTTTGGCAGTCACCTTATTGATTTGCTGTTGATCCCGATTTTTTTCCTCCAAATTCTGATTTTTTTCTCCCTGAGATCCTGATTTTGAAGTTTCATAGAATGGCAGGTCTGAACTTGTGAAAACACATTTTGTGGTAATTGAACATGGGTGGTTGGCGGGTGTTCTGGTGTAGTTTGCCCCTTCTTTCCTATTAATGTCTATCATCCTCACCTCTCCTTTTTTTGTGTTTGTTACTTTCTTTCTTGTAACACATCTAATCTTCAGCACTTATATGACCTAATTGTTTTGCAAGTGCTGTAAAACGCTTATTAATCAAACAAGACAAAGGTTGAATTAATTTCCTTTTTTTTTTTTTTAGGCTTTCAGAGAACTCCAGAACTCAGTGCGGGAAGGAGTGCTTTTGTTTCGAGCATTATTAGAGGAAATCAAAACCAATGCTGAAAAGGAGAAGACAGCCATAGAGACTCTCTGTACAGAACTGCTAGCCAAGATTGAAGACACCAAAGCCATACTCCTCCAGAAAGTTTGCACGTATGTACAGATATTCCTGTTTTCTGTTCCTTTTTAATGTCTGTCCTCTTTCTGAAATATCCTGTAGGTTTTTATTTATTTATTTTTTATGAAAAAGTTTATTCATCCTTGTTCATTGTGCAGAAAACTGAGGTGGTATACCCATATTATTCTCTGACGAATTGACATTTTATACTTCTTTGTTTATGTCTTTTCAAATCTTAAAACTGTGGTGAAATAACTATATTATTCTCTGACGAATTGACATTTTATACTTCTTTATTTATGTCATTTCAAATCTTAAAACTGTGGTGGTATACCCATATTATTCTCTGACGAATTGACATTTTATACTTCTTTGTTTATGTCTTTTCAAATCTTAAAACTGTGGTGAAATAACTATATTATTCTCTGACGAATTGACATTTTATACTTCTTTATTTATGTCATTTCAAATCTTAAAACTGTGGTGGTATACCCATATTATTCTCTGACGAATTGACATTTTATACTTCTTTGTATCTTTTCAAATCTTGTGCTGTAATTCACCCTTTTATATCTCTGTCTGCATTTCTCTCCCTCCCCAACCACATTCACACACTTAACACTCACCTCCCTCCCCCATCCCTCTCCTCCCCCCACCCACACAAACACTGTCACACACCCTGGCTGCCGTTGGCTCAGTGAGTACACCAACAAAGAGGCAACATTCCACTCGCAGCTCAAGTCTCTCTCAGCCCTGCTGCCCACTCTACAGCTGCACCTCGTCATATCCAGCGCTATCTCCGGCTCGGCCAACAAGTTTGAGTTCCTCGACCTGACTTATGTAAGTATATGTGTGTGGTGTCAGTGGTCTCGTTGTTAGGCTCTCAGACTATATTATTAATAATTGCAGACTATAATAATAATAATAATAATAATAATAATAATAATAACTGCATTTATATAGCTCGTATCCACGCTCTACAGCCTGCTCTATGGGCTTTACAACTATTGTTACCCTAGCAGACCCTAGAACACTCAGAGACATTCTCAGCTTCACGAGAAGCCTACAGAGCAGGCTGCAGATTTCATGCTTTCAAACACTATCAAACAGACAAAAAATTTGGCTGTCTATAGCGGGGTACCCATTTCCACCTGATTGAAGGTAGGGAAGTTTATGTAAAGTGCCTTTCCAAAGGACACAACGCCAGGGCTCCAGATGGGATTTGAACACACGAACTTACTGTTGCGAATCGTAGAGCCTAACCACTCTTTGCAAATGCAATTATTATTGCATCCTGTGACATTATGTATTGTCCTGTTTGGGGTCATCTAGAACTTTTTTATTGTATCCTGCTTTGAACTTCAGAGCTCATGCACTCTTAATAAATATAACATTTCGTTGTAAGCCTTTCTATCTCTCTCCTTTTTTTTTTTTTTTTTCTTTTTTTGTTGTTGTAATCTCTGTATGTACAGCTTTACGAAAGTGGGGAAGTAGGAACATCGTGAAGATTGCTTGTCCGCCGTGCAGAGGCAGAGCGATGTATCTGCTCTTTTTATGATTTTGAGTTACGTCGCGCTGCCATTGGAAATATGGGCATGGCCCTTCAATTACGTCTGTTTGCCATGGTGAAATATCCTATTTGCAGGGCAGATACGTCTTCCAGCCTTTGACACAAGATGCAGAATGGGTATAGACGTCCATTTAAACGAAGATGCAAAATAATTTTTGCAGATACGTCGGTCTGCCTTGGCACGGCAGTTGTGTTCAGCAGAGAGATTTCGGCAGCATGTTTTCCTCTTATCTCAAAGTGTCAACAATGTGGGTCACTACGATTGCTTCACTGGGAACAGTTTCCGTCACTTTTTTGGCTGCAAACAACTGATAACAATTGACAGTTGAGTGGTTGAAGGGTTGTCCATGACGGTACTTCTCCCAAAGGATAATAATTTTTGTCTATTGGGAAAATGAAGACATTTTGTTTGCCTTCTCCCGGCCATTGCAGCACGCAAATTGCCGGGGGGTGGGGGGGGGGGGGGGGGGGGGGGATCTGTTTTACCGTAATATGGCGAGAGGAATTGTACTTGTCAGACGTGGACCAAGTATGTTGCTCTTTAGATCTACATGTCGTGCCTGTGAAGGGTCGCTTTGACTCCATCAATCCATTTTTCTCTTGGTCTATGTATGTAACTTGCAGACCTGCCACTCATCCCGATTTAGTCGGGATATCCCGATTTTTTTCCCCCAAATCTCAAGCGTCCCGATTTTCCCGATTTCGATTGCATGTATCCCGATTTTTTGTCCCAGTCTGCTGTTGTGTCGGATTTTTCTAAAAACTTACTCTGCCTTCTCCTTTATTACGGGAAGCACCCGTTGAACTTTTTGTCAGTAGGAACTCGGAGCAATATTTCCCGAAATATCGATGCCGCATTTAGTAGTTGACTCGCCCCAAGTTGTGTGTGATCTTTG